TCCTGAAAAAGGTTTCAGAGATTCTGGGCAGAGGATTCTAATTCCTTCCCTTCCTGGCTGTCCTTACCATTACAAGGACTTGTTTGGGGTTTCTAGATCTTTGGGGGATTCTCAGGAAATGGGACATAGTAAAAAGGGGATACATCTTTTGAGGCCATGGGAAGCAGATGTTTGTGGTATTTCTGATCTCTCTTCCCTTCACTTCCCATAAGTGGATGGAATGGCCTGGTCCTGCTAGACCTCCTGTCCACCAGAACCCTTAGACAGCCAGCCCTGAAGTTCTTTGGCCAGGTCAGTTTGGGTCTTTGTAATGGCAGTTGATCCTGGATGGTGAAACATTTGTTTCTAATTCTTTTATCACATAGGCCTCTTTGATCAGTACTGGCACAACTGAAGCAAATAATCATCAGGGCAGGCACAATCATAGGAATAAAATTGATGGTACCCAGTAGGTTACCATCCTAAAATCTCTCAAGAGAAGCCAATGCTTACAATATGACAAGAAGGTGGGGGGCATTATGTGAATGAAATGGGCCTGTCACATGGGCATATCATTCCAGAAAATAGTTCCTCCTAAGTTCATATGACCATCCAAATCAACCGTGATTTCCAGTTCTATCAATGAGATACCTGAGATAACTTGAACATATTTCTTCTGCAAACAGAGAGGCTGGCTAAAATATAACATTTTTTGAAATGCAAAATTAATTTGCAGTAAAGAAGGAACAGCCAGGAGCTGGAGAAAAGGAAACTGAAAACTAAAATGGTAAGGACTGGGATAAAGTGTGTGAATGGATTGTTGGACTTGAGAATTAATGTCCAAGCAAGTATGAGATATAAGACATTGATCCATGCCAGATAGGAAGTTGGAAATCAGACTCCCTGCATAAAGATGGTACCCTAAAGACTTCATCCTTATGAAAAGTTAAGCTATAAAAAGTTCCCTCACTGGTACGGAGAAAAAGGAATTTTTACAGAAATGCAAGGGAACAGGTTCCGTGAGAGTATGCAACCATGATTTGAGATTCAAACTTACACTGTGTGGGCCACAAACCACCAGGCTGAGGAATTAGCATGAAAATTATCCCCAGGCTAGGGATAACCCTGAAATACTTAGAAGAACCAAATTAAAAAATCTACTGTATATGCCCTTTCCTGAGCCACACAGCATTCCCACAGACAAAGCTCTAGTTTAACTGTGGCATGGTGGTACGCACCTGTAATTCCAGATACTTAGGAGGTTGAAGCAGAAAGATAACAACTTCCAGGTAAGCCTGGGATACTTGAAATAAAATTGGGCTTCTGGTGGGCTGGGGATGTGGCTCAAGCAGTAGCACGCTTGCCTGGCATGCGTGCGGCCCGGATTCGATCCTCAGCACCACATACAAACAAAGATGTTATGTCCGCCAAAAAAAAAAAAACTAAAAAATAAATATTAAAAAATTCTCTCTCTCCCCCCCTCTCTCTATCTTAAAAAAAAAAATTGGGCTTCTGGTACAGTTTAGTGGTAGAGTGCTTGGCTAGTATGCACAAAGCCCTGGGTCCAATCCCAGGAGTAGGGAATGAACATATATGTATAAAAGCTTCAAAGAATAAACACACAGAGAAACAAACTACCATGTTATGGAGGCACATTGAAAGTAGTGTCAGTCTTCATGTAAATTACTGGGAAAAGATAATATATGTATGTATTAGATGTTTTCAATAAAGTAAAAAGAAAAAAGGCTAAAAAATTCTGATTTTTTTAAAAAAGGAGAAATACTAAGAATGAAAAAATGGCCTATAAATTAAAATGACACACTAGAAACAGTAAAAGAGAGAATTAGTATCCTGGAAGCTAGATCTGAGGAAATTGCTGAGAAATCAGCATAGTGGGACAGAGTAGTGGAAAATTGAAAGTGTGGATAAGAGATATAGGTGGACAGAGGGAGAAGATCCAGTATATAGTGGCAATAGACCACTCAGTGATCTCATCCAGTCTTATGGCTTTAAACATCTCTGTTCCAACTCTAAATTTTGTATATCTGGTCTAGACCACACTCCTAAACTCCAAATTTATATAGCCAACTGCTAACTTGATATTCCCACTTGAATGTGTAATGGACATCTACAAATCAGTGTGTCCAAACATGCATGAATGCCTGGGGTGTGGCTCAATGGTACTTTTTTAGAGTGGTACAATTCTAGAGTACTTTTCTAGAATGCACAAGGTCTTGGATTTGATCCCCAGCACTGCAATAAAGAATCCAGAATGCATAATTGTCCCCCTAAACATATTCTACCCATAAAACCCTTATCTCAGGTCAGTTACTTAGGCTAAAATCATTAATTTTGTACTTCACTTTCCTCTTTCTCTCACACTCCACATTGAATGTGTCAAGAAATTCAACAGACTTTACCTTGTTGCTACATTCAAAAGCTAACCACTTACCACTTCTGACCTACCTGATCTAGGCCTTTATCATCTCTTGCATCAGTTTCCTGTCTTCCAGCTTCCAGAGCAGCAGCCTGGTATGTTAGATCATATCACACTTCTCAAACTTTTAATGACTCCCAATTAAAAAAAAATTATTTTTTTAGTTATAGTTGGACACAATACCTTTTATTTATTTTTATGTGGTGCTGAGGATTGAACCCAGGGCCTTGCACGTGCTAGATGTACCACTGAGCCACAACCCAGCCCCATGACTCCCTATTTCTGTCATGGTAAAAGCCATGTTCCTTTTTTTAAAAAATATATTTTTTAGGTGGTGCTGAGGATCGAACTCAGGGCCTCACCCGTGCTAGGCAAGCACTCTACAGCTGAGCCACAACCCCAATCCCCACCCCCAGCCATGTTCTTAAAATAGCTCACAAAGCCCTACATTATCTTGCCTGCTATGACTCTCTGCCATCATCTTTTCTACTCTCCATCTTGCTCACTTCATTCCAGTCACATTGGCCTCCTCTCTGTTCCTCAGACTTCCAGGCAGCTTCTGCCTCAAGGCCTTTATATAGATATTCTCTCTTCCTGAAACATTCTACCTCTAGATATCCATGTGATGCACTGTCTCACTTCAAGTGTTTGCCTACATGTCACCTTTTGTAGCAGATGCTATCATGCCTTGACCACAATCCCTTACGTTTGCCATGTCTGCTAAAGGTTTCCTACTGAAAGCATCTACAATTTTCTATAAGAAGGTTTTCTAAACATGAGTGCTCACTTGCTTCAGGGTAGGCCCAAATATCAGGAAGTTAACACCGTTTGGAGCACCCTTCAACCACTAACCCTTGCTTAGGAGTCAATGGAGGAGTCCCCTTACCTCATGTCCCCTTGGGTGGGCCAACTCTGAGGCATTTCTCCAGTATTTCCCAGGACTTTACAGTATAAATCCAAACTCACACACAAATAGAGCCAAAGGAAAAAAATAGTTGATATATTGTTAGTAGGATTGTCAAGGAAATAACATCTTAAAATATTTAAAAATAGTCATTTTAAAATGTTATATTATCATTAATAATATGTTTCATAATCATACAGTGGAAAGGATAAGGTTGACAGAGTATGGCACCCAAGGTTTCTTTCTAAAGGTCTGATGTTCAAGGTGACATGAACTCTGGAGAGATTTCCCCCTGTTCTACTATCTAAAACTCTTGAGATATTAAGGTGGGACATGAATTCTGGAGAGCCCCTCTCTGTTCCACTGTCTTTAATCTAAAGGGCTCAGATAACTCTGTTGCTATTTCTTCCATCATCAAATGGAGGTTCCAATCCACCAGCTGGACCTAGAGAATATTACTGTGAACTTGACTTGTAGTCATTGTACCATAATTTTGTGAAGCATTACAAAATTGGGGTAGAACATGGGCTTTGGGACAAAGACATCGGAGTTTAGATAGGGACTCTATATCTTATATGGGACCTTGGGTGAGTTGTCCAAATTCTCTGCCTAATTTCTGATAAAAGAATCATGGGGCTGGGCAATGGTGGTGCATACCTGGGATCCTAGCAGCTTGGGGGCGCTGGGGTTGTGGCTCAGTGGGAGAGCGCTTGCCTAGCATGGGCGAGGTCTTGGGTTTAATCCCCGGCACCACATAAAAAATAAATAAACTAATTAAAGATATTTTAAAACAGTCTTAGCAGCTCGGGAGGCTGAGGCAGGAGGATAGAGAGTTCAAAGCCAGCCTCAGCAAAAGTGAGGTGCTAAGCAACTCAGTAAGACCCTGTCTCTAAATAAAATACAAAATAGGGACTGGGGATATGGCTTAATGATTGAGTGCCCCTGAGTTCATTCCCTGGTACCCGCCCCCCCCTCAAAAAAAAAAAAAAAGCATGGGGCTCTGTGAAGTGAAGGAACTAATTTACATCAAACTCATAGTGGGTCTCCTCAACCAACTGTAATAGCCATGACAGTAACAATAAGAAAATGTGAATGAGGGCTGGGGCTGGGCTCCATCAGTAGAGCGCTCACCTAGCATGTGTGAGGCCCTGGGTTCAATCCTCAGTACCACATGAAAATAAATAAAGGTATAAAAAAAACAAAAGAAAATGTGAATGTGCCCAGCATTAATGTCAGATAGGTGGTGAGCTCAAATGCATATAACACACATCACCTAAATCAATATTCAGCTTCAATTTCCACCTCACCAAATGGATTTGGGACCTGGAAAGGCAGCATTTGGGCTGACATTATCTCTTTCCAATTAATGCTCACTGTGATGACTCTTTAGGACCAAAAGGTAATTTTAATAGAGTGAGGTAGCTGTTAAAAATGTGCTCAGTGCTGTCCTGGACAGTGTTAATGGAAATCAGGTGTCCTGGATCAGGGAAGCAATAGTCCACTTTTCTGGTTACACTTAGAATGTCATAACAGGGTGTGGAGGCAATGTGGACACATACTCTAGGGGAAGGTGACCCTCAGCACAGGAGGCTCTGAAAACTGACTAGCAAGGAATATTCACAGAAACTAGGGACATTCGATCTGAGATGAAAAATCCAAAGGGTTATTTTGTCATTTCAGGAGGAAAAAAATGGGAGTTTTAAACCCTGGAATGGATGGTCTTACAGCAAACTGGGCTCCCAGATTCTGGAGGATGCAACTTGTGTCTTGACAGCCAAAGCTCATGAAAGAGGAACAGCCAGTCATAGCTCATGAAAGAGGAACTCTCAAACCAGGAGGAAAGGGCTTGAATGCCACTATGTTCCTTCAAAATCTAAATTTTGTGATTCTGTATATGTGTTTCTAAAGTCTGACATAAACCAGGATCTACTAAACTATTGAGGGACATTAGCGAGAGGGATATTATGCTGCTTAGTTGTTTGCAATTCTTTCAATCTTTTCATCTGAACTTTGTGACCATCTGTTTGGCCATTCTAATATTAGTAAAGATGTCTAGTTAGCTATAATAGGGCTCATGATCTCCAGCCAATGCCACTCTCCTAAAAAAGTACCAGTGGTAAGAGAAGGGTTAAGATGTTCAACCATCCTGTGATCCTGGGCATTTGGACTTCTAGATCAATTCTCTCTCCCCATCACTCACCTATACACATACATATAATTAAAAAAGAATTCAAGGGCATGTTCTTACACCAAACCTTATCTGAAGATTGGACTCTGAATACAGGAAAAAAAAAAAAGAAAGAAAGACATGTTGTGTATATGCACAAGAAAACAAAAAAGAGAAAAAGGGAAGGAGACCCATGCTTTGCGTATAACTCCCAAGCTATGATTTCCCCCTGTGCACACTAATTTGTATATCTTTTTCCATATTTAAAAAAAAAGGTGCATTTTTGAGCTCTGTCAGCTGTTCTTAACCCTGGTACATATCATAATCATGCAAGTTGCTTTTGTAAAATCCTCATGCCTCAGCCACATCCTAGACCAATTAAACCTGGGGCCTAGGCATCAATATTTTTTAAAGCTTCCCTAGTGGCTCTAATGGGCAGACTGAACTGAGATCCCCTGGTAGAAGAAGAGCTAGACATTTGTTTGTTTCAGGAATTAATATGATTATGCTAATTAATCTTAAATACATATCACATTTCTCTCAGAAACAAGCACAGAAATTTCTCTACTGATAAATGTTCAATTCACAAACTTCCATAGTTTGATTATGAAACTCTGAATATTCCTTGTTGATAACTGAGCACTTGAATGTTTTACACACTCCATAGTTGATTCTTTCAGTCAAGACTGAGAGACATTGTTATAAGTGTTCTATAAACATTTAGAAGAATGGGTGTAGGTGATTGGATGTGGCACATTGGGAGTTCTTTATTTAAAAGGTTCATGGACCTTTATTTTTTATTTTTCTTTTAATATTTTATTAGCTATAGATGCAACCCCAGCACAGTGGGGATTTTTTTTTTTAGTTGTAGATGGACACAATACCTTTATTTTATTTATTTATTTTTATGTGGTACTGAGGATCGAAACCCATGCCTCACATGTGCTAGGAAAGTACTCTACCTGAGCTACAACCCCAGTCCCAGTTGGGGTTCTTAACCTAGGTAATATGGACATTTTAAGTCACTTAATTGTTGTTGGGGCTGTCCAGTATAATGTAGGACACTTAACAGTTCTTCTGACCTTTATCTCAGAGATGCCAGTAACATCCCCCATTATGATACCCTAACAATGTCTCCAGACATTTTTATATGTCTCCTGGGGGGGGTATAACTGCCCATGGTTGAGAACCCCTTGAGTAGATTAATGAATGGGTACACAGATGAATGCATGCATGCATGCATGCATGTATAGATACATGGATGGATAGGTGAATGAAAGGGTAGATGGATGAATGATCAGGACTCATAAACCTAAATGCATGTCTTTGTTCTTGAAGGTTTGACTCGGAAAACATTCTTTCCTCTTTGTCCATAAAGTACCAAATATTTGGCACATCAAGTAATTGGAAGAATACAGAAGGGCTGAATTTGAAGTTTCAGACATTGATATCATTTGCCAATGTAAAACTAAATTCTAAAGCTGATCCAGGAAAAGACTTGTTAAATATAGCTGACATAAAATAAAACTGTTTATGACGGAAAAGTGAACATGGTAAACTGTTCTGTCTAAAAATTAACAAATAAAATCTTTATCACAACACCAAGATATAATAAAATTATGACCTGAGATAATGAATTTTTTTAAGTGGTAGGGATCAAATCCAGGATCTTGTGCATACCTGATCTCTATCACTGAGCTCACTCCCAGCCTTTTTTTTATTTTGAAATAGGGTCTCATTAAACTATCCAGTCTGACCTCAGTATTCTCAGTAGCTAGGATTATAGGCATGCACTGAGGCTAGCAAAGACTTCATAGAGATAAATGATACAAAGTAAAATTTGTGTTGACAAAATCTATAATTAGTAACATTTTTTACAAAAAAAAATTTTTCTTTCCTTTTTGTGGTACTGATAGAACCCAGGACCTTGGACCTGCTAGGTAAGCACTTTACCACCAAGCTACAGCCTCAACCTAAGATTCCAATATTTAAATATCTAAAAATTGCTAATAAAAATAACTTCAAGGGGCTGGGGTTGTGGCTCAGTGGTAGAGCACTCACCTAGCATGTGCGAGGCCCTGGGTTCAATCCTCAGTATCACACAAAAATAAAAATATTGTGTCCAACTACAACTAAAAAATAAATATTTAAAAAAATTTCAATAAAATAACTTTAAAATATTTTCTAAAATATTATTTTTAAATACTTCTTTTTATCCCCCCCCCACCATATTGGAGATTGAACCCACTATTGTTTTACCACTGAGCTACATCCCAGCCATTTTTTTCTTTTTTAATATATTGAAGTTGTAGATGGTCACAATAACTTTATTTATCTTTATGTGGATAGAACCCAGGGCCTCACACATGCTAGGTGAGTGCTCTACCACTGAGCCACAACCTCAGCCCCATCCCAGCCATTTTTATTTTGAAGGATCTCCCTAAATTGCTTAGGACCTCACTTACTTGCTTAGGCTGGCTTGGAACTTGTAATCCTCCTGCTTCAGCTTCCATAATCACTGGGATTATAGGCATGGAGTATGTCACTGAGCCCTACAAAATACATTTTATTTTTTTATTTATTTTTTAAATAATTTTTTTTTTTTTTAGTTCTAGTTGGGTACCTTTATTTATTTATCTTTATGTGGTGCTGAGGATCAAATGCAGTACCTTGCCCATGCTAGATGAGCACTCTACCACTGAACCACAACCCCAGCCCACTAAATACATTTTAAATGAACATTTAAAATGTGTGGAAAATTTATGGAGGGATTAAACAAGCTTAATAAAGCCTGCTCAAGAAAATCATTTCTTGATTAAATTTATCATTGTTGCCTGGCACCGTGGCACATAATCCAAACAACACAGGAGGCTGAGGCAGTTATTAGCAATTTATCTAGAGTAATTTAGCAAGACCCTGTCAAAAAAAAAGCTGAGGAGGACTCATGGTTAGGTATTCCTGGGTTCAATCCTTGGTACAACAACAACAAAAAATTATCATTGTTGGACATGGGGAATATAGCTCAGGTGTAGAGTGCTTGCCTACCATGAGATGCCCTGGCATCCATTCCCAACACCATACACACAATTTTCATAGTTCATATGAGCTGATTAAAATATTTTTATGTCTGGTAAAATACTAAAAATAACAATGGAATCAAAAGACAAAGTTTCTCTAGGTAAAATATAGCTACTTTCTAGATAAATGTGGGCCCTATGTTCAGAAATAGCTGACTTTTTTTGTGGGTGGCTATTTTTCCAGTTGCTTAGGCTTTTCTTTTTAACAAAAATACAGCTTACTTTAAATATAAAGATTTGCCAAGCACATAGCCCACGCCTGTAATCCTAGCAACTCTGAGGTAGTAGGATTAAAGTTCAAGGCCTGTCTCAGCAATTTAGGGAAACCCTCAGCAACTTGGTGAGACCATGTCTCAAAAAAGGGATGAGGGTATCTGGGTTCAATTCTTAATACTACTAGAATAAAATAAAGATATTTACAGAAGAAAAGTTTGCCCAACTGTACGGAAAAATTGTGAAAGACTTTGAAATAGAACAAAAGATTGGAGATCGGAAGTCTTTTTTTAAATCCTAGTGCTCAGGGTGGAACCCAGGTCCTTCTGCAAGGGCTTTATCCCTGAAGCCTGGGTGGTATATAATAGATCCTTCCCAGCAGGACTGAGCTAAATTACAGCCCAGGAAACCATAGATAATAGATAGAAATGCAAATGTCCTTATCAGTAGACATGCAAATTATGTTTCTCCACTCATCACTCCTGATAAAAAACATTTGTGGGGCTGGGGATGTAGCTCAAGCAGTAACCATGCTTACCTGGCAAGCGCCGGGCACTGGGTTCAATCCTCAGCACCACATAAAAATAAAATAAAGATGTTGTGTCCACTGAAAACTGAAAAATAAATATTAAAAAATTCTCTCAATTAAAAAAAAAAAACCACCACAACAAAAAACAGTATTTGTAGATCTATTTCAGTACTCCTGATCTTTATAAGTAAGATATTTTAAATTCTCCTTTGAACCTGTAAAATCTTATTGGCTCCCTCATTAATGAGTAGAATAAAATCTTTGACACATTTTCATTTTATATATGTATGACAATCATGATTATAACTTTGAAAAATTATCTTTTAACAACAGATAAATGGATATTATTTGTTGATAAATTGGCTTATGTTCTCTGGAGAACAATTAGGTGGTGTATCCCCAAAACCTTAAAAATATATATATTTGTACATTCTTGATGTTAGATTGGTTTGAGGTGGCTAAGGGAACAAAGCACCAGACAACCCACCTGAACAACCTAACATGTGCTGACAGTCAAGCAGTTATGGTCCTTCATAACCACCTGTCAATCAGCAGGGTCTCCTGACCAATCCTGGAAGGACATGGATCTCAGCAAGATCCCCCGACCAACCCCAGAAGGACAAGGGACTCTAAAAACCTCCCTTTCCTGTCCCAAGCCCTCTCTTCCCTGCTCTAAGCCCAATAAAATTCCAATCTGGCTGAGCCTGGGCCCGATTCCCCCCACACCTGCTCTGTTGGACTGGAGGGCCTGCCCGGGCGAATCTCAATAAAGCCTTGTTCAGTAGCTTTTAATCCACCTCCTTTTGATCACTGGTGCCTGAACTTACACTTGACACAATATTGTACGATAAAATTTGGGAATATTTTTTTTTTTTTTTTGCACCAGGAGCACTTTGCCACTGAGCTACATTCCTAGACCCCCTTTTTATTTTTATTTATTTTTTAAAA